CTTATTTCTAAAAAAATCAACGTTCCTTGGAGATGAGATGTTCTGAAAAAGAAAATGTCCATACGCCAAAGGATTAAGTAATTAGCACTTAGGAAGTTGATTAAAATTCCAATACAGGAATTTTTACTCCTGTCTTACTCCAGCATGTTCACTCCTATATATTATTTGAAATTCAGAGACTTTGCTATAATTACCTGGGTGATGGACATAGGGGAGGGTATGTGCTATGGTGAGTGCTGTGAATTGTGTAAGGCTGATGAATCACAGACTTGCACTCCTGAAACAAATAATACATTACGTGTTACTAAAAATTACCTGTTACTGCCTCCATAAATTCTTGCTCTGACTTCAACAAGGACTCTCCCTGCCCTCTGCCTCTGTCCCTGGTCCTGAGCACCAATGCTGCCAGCATCCAGGAGGCTCCCTTTGTTCAGAGTCTGTGCTGAGTGTCAGTGCCCACTCTAATTGGGCTGGAACTGGCTGCAGCCTAGATCCTGGGGCGTGTGTCTCAAGTTCAGCCTTTGATGAATGAGAAGGCAGCACTGAGGCGCAGCAGGGCATCTTTCCCCTTTGACAAAGAGAGTCATCAAATTGGTCCTCCTAGGGCCTTCCCTCCATTTTGAAGCAAGTTGTGAACTTATTTGCCCAGGACATACTAGTGAAGTAAGTTAAAAAAAAAAAAGGATCCTTGCTTTCCAGGTGTCAGTGGGATTCGTTCTGTTAGTGAAGCACTAGGTTACCAGTTTGCTACTCATTTAAAGATCCTGCTCCACCGCCCTTTGAACAGAAGGAGAAAGGGTGGAATTCCGATAAAATCCATAGTGTTTTGAATCCTTTCGTCCCTTAACTCTCCACTCGGTTGTGTCCCCAAGTCACAGACAGCTTCAGTTCTCTCAGAGTCACCCGTTTATTAATGTGCTGCAACCTTTCTTTTACCTTGGATCAGGAGAAGGATGTGCCCTTTTTTTAAACGGTGGTGTCTGGGGCCTCCTGTATTCAGCACAGATGGGCATAGAATAATTTATATTACTGTTGGGGATTAGCAAGGATTTGTTCCTTGGGCTTATTTAGATCCTGGCTAAATATGGATGACTATATTTAGGAGAGCTCAACTACATTTATAAATATCCTAGTCCTTGAATAATAGATCACTGGGATTCTTCCCTGACTGCAGATGTCTTACAAGCCTTTCCAGGCTAACTCTTAGATTACCCTCGATTGAATTGCTCCTTACACGACATGGTTCTCACAATCCTGCATGTTCTACTTTGTTAATAGTTTAAAAATTGTTGCTATTCTTTATGATCTCTTTGAGAAATAGATGGTTATGCTTTTTATTACTTTCATTGTACACATGGAAGGAGTATTACGTTATGAGTGCATTGAGAGTGTACTATTTACCCAGAACCCTAGAGCACCCTGGCTGTTGAGGATGCCCCATCACTAACAGAGAGCAGCTGACCTGACCTTTCCTAACAAATATATTTTCTGTTTCAGTAGATGGCCAATCCTTAAGAACCCATGATAGCATCATGGCAGTAACTATGGTAGAATGGGTAGGCCTACTTTTAGGGTGGACATGACCCTGAAAAGGTTTTTTTTTTTTTTTCCTTAGTTTATATACTTAAATTTTTTTTAGAGAGGGGCTTGTTTATTTTAGGGTGATTTTGGAAAACTTTCCATGCAAATGTAAGGTACTATATACATAGAAGCTTTGTCATCAAGAGGTTTGGAAGCATTGCTTCTCTTTAGATGATAGGTAATCACAGTAGAATGAGTCTTGGAAGTCATTTGTTGCAGAGAATTAGGAAAGCTTGATTCAGGACACACATTTAGAGATAGAATTGTTGGCTGGGTGTGAGATTCAGTGAACTATACCCTGATCTGGCCAGGCATTTGATGCATTCAATCTCGGTTACTTTATAAAGCCATCTTATAAATTCAGCACAGAAGGGAGTCTGCCCTGTTTTAAAAATAAGAAGGCTGAGGTCCAAACTGACTGGCACCATGGCTGGTAAGTTCTCAGCATGAGAACCCAGCTCTCTAGGTTTTGATTCATCTTTCTTCTGTGGGACGGATACATCCATTCCTCTTGACTTGGGTGTTTTTCCAGGGGACCCTAGCACAGTGCCTTTCTTCTGCCTCTCCCCATATCCACCCCTCTGCTTGCTCATTAGGTCACTCGTGAGAGCCCACCACTGTTTGGGAATGCTTTGGAAACCCCCCTCCCCCTTATGCATCCCTCACAAACTCCCATTTTGACCACATATCCGAAGTTCCAGCTCTCTGGCTCTGCCCTGAATCCTAGTGCTTATGCTAGATTTGGGGATTGGAATTTATAGGGTTTGCCGGTAGACTTACACTTGGCAGAACCTGGCTCTCAACCCTCGGTGGTTTGTAATAGGGATCTTCCTCTCCACCTCCTATCCTATGGAACCTAATCTTCAGTCTTACTGTCAGGCTCTTGGATTGGTGTGCAAGCTGATTTTGACACCTGGGGTTCAGTTAACAAGCATTTAGCGAAGGAAAGACTCAACAATGAAAATTCCCAGGACTTCTTCGTCCTCATTCAGTGTTTTCAATTGAGTAATGAAATATGTGACTCTGTGTTCTTCCTATTATCCAGCTATAAAATGGAATAATACCCCATTTTACCTTTAGTGAAGTATAATATGTGTGTGTGTTATTACAGTGTTAACATTCCTTACTAAGAAAGCCGTTGTAAAAGTCCAGCTACCAAAAATGATGAGAAGTTGCCTGGATAGTTGCAAATTTCAAAAGCTTAAACTAATTTCAAGTAATGATAAAATGAAACTATGTTTTAGTGGTAGGTAGCTCAGTTCTCAAGGTGTTTTCTGTTTCAGGAAACGTGACCATAAAATTTTCTTTTTTTTTTTTTAAAGATTTTATTTATTTGAGAGAGAGAGAGAGAGCAGGCGTGAGAGCACACAAGCAAGGGGTGGGGAGCGGCAGAGGCAGAGAGAGAAGCAGGCTTCCCACGAGAGTGTCTGGGAGTTGTACTGTATGTAATGATTCAGTGCTTTTATATACCATATGGTAGTTCTGAAGCTCCTACATACATACGTACATGGATTCCCATCGATCCCATACACGCCTCTGTGTATGTCACATACCACCACCATGCAGGCAGCTGGGTGTTGAGGTGAGGGAGCGCTGCCTTTCCCAGAGTCGGTCAGCCTGGTCATGGCAGATCTGGGAGCAGGATCCTCTGTCTTGATTGGCTTTTCTTTCTGCCATCCTGTTGTCAAAGGACAGTCTGGGGAGAGTTAGGTGTCAAGTTCAAAGAAAAGTGTGCCTATCTCCAGTAGGGATGGAGAATAAAGAAGAAACATTTAACATGCTACCTGGAAGAACGACCTGGTTTCTCAGCTTATCATAGAGGACGCTAGTGAAATGAATTGTAATTTAGGGCAGAGACCTGAAATTGCTCTTCCTTGCCTAAATAAATTGATTTCTTCGGTTGTCTGAACTTCATTTCTTGAACTGGGCAGAACTAACGTAGTCTAAATTAAACTCATTTTCCATTAATAAAACTGGGTCACTTCAGGCTGCCTGTGTTTCTGAGTGTCCTGAAGCACATTTTAAAAAACCCAGTGTTTCACGCTCTTTTCATAACCCATCTGATTTAGCCAGTGTAACACATAATATTTGCATTCACCTTTCCCTTGACACTCTGCTTTAGAGTTGGGGTCTGTTTCTGAAACTTCCTTTTAACTGTCAGGAAGATTGTTGCAGGAGGGCATTACCATCCATCTGCTAGGGCTGGAAAAGGCAGAGCCAGGGGTGGGGGGTTGGCTGAGACAGTTAGCCCCTGCCTTGCCCAAAGAAAGCTTAGTTTTCATTATGCCTTTCCTTGTTTTCCTGCTGGTGGCTTTGCACTATAATATTTTGAAGCTATTGTTTATACATAGGGTCCAATGAACTGGATCATGAACGTGGGAAGTTGTGAATTGAAAAAAATGATAGCACAAGCTGAAGAATTTTAGAAAAATCTTGTGCAGGTCCATGAGAGTGTTTCTGCTTGGAGCTCTCACTCAGCACTTGGTGCACGTACTCTCGGCTGTTGGAGGTGCGTGAGGTAGTCCAGTCCACCACGGTCGCATTAGACCTGCTCTGCCCTCCGTGTCCAGTGTCAGACTTCCTTGGAAAGCACTGGGGAGGCTCTGTTATCTTTCCTGGTCCTCCTCCATTTCTGCTTCCTGGGAACGAGGGCGGGGGCGCCATGGATGCTGGCAAGTGAATCCTGATTTACAAAGCCCTGCACATGTACATCCCCACCGGGAGAGCCATGATTTGAATATGGCTTTGGAATACTCTGAAATATAAAGATCTAGAAATGTTAAAACTGTGGGAAATACTTTTCAAAAATGACAGTTGGGGAAAATGGAAATATTTGTCATATTTTATTTTTAGCATATTTTAGATATTTGAAATATGGGACCATATGAATTTAAGAAAATGGGTTGTCTTTACCTTTTTAATGAACTGGTCATGCCCATATTTTTAGGGATGTAAAAGCCTAGAAAAATTATAGGGAAATTGATGTTTTCCCATGTTTTCTTCCCTTTTAAAAAATTAAAGAAGTTAAAAAGTCATCATGGGGACGCCTGGGTGGCTCAGTTGGTTAAGTGTCTGCCTTTGGCTCAGGTCATGAGTGCAGGGTCCTGGGATCGAGCCCCGCGTGGGGCTCCCTGCTCAGTGGGGAGTCTGCTTCTCCCTCTCCCTCTTCCTCTCCCTCTCCCTCTGCCCCTCTCCCTGCTTGTGCGCTCTCTCTTGCTTTCTCTCTCTCAAATAAATAAATAAAATCTTAAAAAAAAAAAAGTTGTCATGGGGATGGATCTCCCTCTGATTTCTTATCTCCCCTAACCCTCTGTTTTCCACACTTCAAGGTACATCAATTCACCCGTCCTTGTGTCTTTTTGTCAGATCTTAACAATATGCAGATGACTTTCCACTGATAGTTTTTCTTCTATTTTCAGTGCACAGAGGCCAAAAAACATTGCTGGTATTTTGAAGGACTCTATCCAACATATTATATGTAAGTATTTGCATTTTTCTGTTGTTTTGATTCTGTGGTCACGTCTTTCTCTGGGAATTATTTCTTTCATAGGTAATAGGACTGGTTATAGGATGGGGGAAAACTCAGTTTGTGGAGGCCATCACCCTTGGTTTCACCTGCCTCTGCTCACGAATGTGCAGGCAACCTCTCTAAGGACACTTTAGTCGGCTCAGATCACTTACTCTGAGGACAGCATGAAATACCAAGTGCTTTGTTCTGGGAGACATGTCCACTCATACATAATTGGTCAAAAAGGCCAGAGTTGTGTTGGTGTATACAGACTTTCCTAGGCAAAGGGAATGAGTGTAGGGCGAGTAGAATTCTGAACTTGAGTTGGATAGGAAAAGGGTCCGTTGCTGTGAGTGTGTGTGTGTGCATATGTGTGTGTTGACAGTAATCAGAAAGGTTACCTGGCCCTGGGCCACCTCCCTAGTCAGGGACAGTTAGCCTTTCATGGCTCTTGGCTCAGAGCAGGTTATGCTTCTTCCTGTGCCTGGGCATCTGCCAGTATTGCTCTAATTAAAGCATTATTGTATTTTACCCCTGTTGTTTTTATTTTATTTTATTTTATTTTATTTTATTTTATTTTATTTATTTATTTATTTTTAATATTGGCTGAGTTAGCCACTGGCTATGCTCAGCCACCTGCCTAGGTGGTCAGATTAACTCTCCAGGTTACCAGTTATTATTTTTTTTGTGTTTTGAAACTCCACAGGTTTTGAGAGGAATGCCCCAAACCAAATTTTTTCTGAAACTTTTTTTTGGTAGTAAATTTTGTAAAACATGAGATCTTTCAGTAATGTATGTAATTGTATTAGAGCAGAGGCACTGTATATCTTAGCATATAAGGAAATACATAATAGTAGCAAAGAATGTTATTTCTTAATTGGCCAAGATGTACATTTTTATTACCTGCCATTCTTGTGGAATTTCTGATCTGAAAGAAACCACTATAGGAGGAGAAAGGTTGCCTGCCTGTGAATGGGGACATACTGACGAGCAGGGGTCCTTGATGCCTCACATTGGAGGAGTCCTGGCAGAAGGCCTCCGCAGCTGCAAAAAGACAAAACCCACTTGGAAAATAAAGCAGCATAAGGACTTTAATTACAGAGTTGTCAGCTTGAAGAAACATGGTTATGGGATAACGTGAAGATAAAATATTCTGGTTCTTAGGACAATGTATATTCCTTAGTAAACTTCAGTTGTTTTTTTAGAGAGAGTGTGTACCACAAGGGGGTGGAGGGGGGAGGAGGAGAGAGGGAGAGGGAGAGGCAGGATCCTAAGCGGCCTCCACGCCCAGCACAGAGCCTGACACGAGGCTCGATCTCACGACCTGAGCCAAAATCGAGTCGGACGCTTAATGGCTGAGCCACCCAGGCGCCCCTGAAAACAGATCTTTCTCAAATTGTTTTGTAGATCAGCTGATGAATCATTTCCTGGTGGTTTTTAAAAATATTTATTTATTTATTTGAGAGAGCGAGAGCATGCACGCAGGTGAGCATGTGAGCAGAGGGAGAGAGAGAGAGAGAGAGTCCCAAGCAGACTCCCTGCTGAGCGTGAAGCCTGAGGCAGGCTCAGTCTCAGGACCCTAAGATCATGACCTGAGCCAATACCAAGAGTTGGTCACCTAACCCACTGAGCCACCCAGGTGCTCCAATTTCCTGGTCTTTTAGAGTTTGGGAGTTGGAGGTCATTGCTCTTCTTGTGTTTGCTTGTTTGTTTTTGCCTTTATTCATTTACTTATTCCTTCCATGTTTGGGAAAGGTTTTTGTATTGACAGCACAGAGACAAGCCCTGTTCTTGTCTTGAGTGTGGTTTGTCTCCTGGTTTGGTTTCCTTTCACATCTCTTTACTGCTGGTGAGGGCGGGTTCTAGAAATCAGAAAGTAAAGTCACGCTCTTATTTGAGTGCTGAAGCTAATATAAAAAGTAATAATAGTAACGTTGAGAATTTACTATAGTCTAGGCATTGTCCTGTGCCCCTTACATGAATCAATGCCATTTAACCCACAGCCACTTAAAAACCCCAACCATACACACTGGTCTTCCTGACCTGACCCCTGCTCTCTCCGTTCCCACTGCTTCACCTGAATCCACACCTGTGTTAACGCTCTTGTGAACCATTGCATACACTTTGTTTTATCCAGCTTTATCGAGATATAACTGATGCATAAGTTTGTGTAAATTTAAGATGTACAGCGTGTTGATTTGATATATATTGCAAAATGATCACCACCATAGCTTTAGCTAATGCCTCCATTATATCCCATAATTGCCATTTCTTTTTTTTTTTTTTTTGTGGTGAAACTACTTAGATTGACTCTCCTTAGCAACTTTAAAGTATATAATTCAGTATTGTTAACTATAATAACCGTACTGTGCCTAAAATCCCCAGAGCTTACTCATCTAATAACTGGAAATTTTTACTCTTTGACCCATATCTCATTTCCTCCACCCCCAGGCTCTGGCAACCACCATTCTACTCTCTTGAATTTGGCTTTTTTGAATTCCACATATAAATGAGATCATAGAGTGTCATTTTCTGATTTATTTCACTTACCATAATGCCCTCAAGGTACATCCATGTTGTTACAAATGGCAGAATTTCCGTCTTTCTTGTGGGTGGTTAATATTTCATTTTATGTGTACATCACATCTTTTTTACCTGTTCATCTGTTGATGGACATTTTGGTTGCTTCAATATCATAGCTATTGTGAATAATGCTTCAGTGAACACGGGAGTGCAGATCTCTCTTCAAGATCCTCTTTTCATTTCCTTTGCAGGTTTAGCTATAAGTGGGATTGCTAGATCATATATTGTAATTTTATTCTTAATTTTTTGAGGACTCTGCATACTGCTTTCCATAGTGGCTATACCAGTTTACAATTCCACCTGTGCATGGGGTTCCAGGTTCCCCTGTCTCCATACCCTGACCGACGCTTGTTATCTCTTAACCTTTTTGGTGATAGCCATTTTAACATGTATGAGGTGATACCTCTGTGTTTTGATTTGCATTTCCCTGATGATGAGTGATGTTGAGCACTTTTTCATGTACTTGTTGGCCATTTGTTTGTCTTCTTTGGAAAACTGTCTATTCAGTTCCTCTGCCCATTTTAATCAGATTATTATTATTATTATTGTTATTTTCCCCTATTGAGTTGTATGAGTTCCTTGTGTATTTTGGATATTAACCCCTTATCTGATAAGTGGTTTGCACATATTTTCTCCCCTTCCACAGGTTGCCTTTTTATTTTGTTGATTGTTCCTTTTGCTTAGAGTAGCTTTTTAGTTTGATGTAGTGTTGCCCTTTCTGTTGATGTTTGCTTTTGTTGTTTGTGCTTTTGGTGTCAGATCCAAAAAAATCATTGCCAGGAGTTGAGGAGCTTCTTCCCTATATTTCTAGGATTTTTGGTTTATCAGGTGTTGGGAGTCCTGGATCCATTCCAAGTTAATTTTTGTGATTGGTGTGAGGTAGAGATCCAATTTCATTGTCCTGCAAGCATTTCTTCGGTTTCCCCAGCACCATTTGTTGAAGAGACCATTCTTTCTCCACTGAGTCTTGGCTCCCTTGTGAAATATTAATTGACTGTAAATGGGAAGGCTTGTGTCTGGGCTCTCTATTCTGTGCTTTTGGTCAATGTGTCTGTTTTTCTGCTAGTACCGTACTGTTTTCATTACTCTATCTTTATAGTGTGGTTTGAAATCAGCAAGTGTGATACATCCAGTGTTGTTTTTTCTCAGGATTGCTTCGGCTACTCCTGGTCTCTTGTTCCTTGCAAATTTTAGGATTGTTTTTTCTATTTCTGTGAAAAGTGCCATTGGAGTTTTGATAGGGATTGCATTGAATATACAGATGGCTTTCTAATGGGTCTTCTTTCATTCCTTTCTCTCATCAAATTCTTACTTCTTTCTAAGTTACTGAAATTTTCATGTCACTTTCCTGCTTAAAAATGTCAGGAACAAAGTCCAAATTTTTAGCCACCTTTAACAGTAGATTTCCAAGATATTTGTCTGGTTTTATCTTCTTTCTTTATTGTGAGTCCCATGAGGACCGGACTATGACTTTTGAATATTTGAATTCCCAGTGCCTAAGATAGTGCCTGGCACCCAGCGGACATCCCTGAATGTTGAGTGGGTGCCTTTCTTTTCAGCCCCTACGGTAGGGCCCACGCTGACTTCTGCAGGCGGCCCTGCATCATTCCTAGTTCTCTGGCTGGTGGGCTCTTTGCTGGCTGGAAAGCTTCCCTTCAGAATTCATTCCTCCTTCCTCATTTTGGCTCTGATGTAGCATCTTGGATAGTCCTCACAGTGTTGTATGTCCTGTGGGTGCTTCCAGGATGGGCTTGTACATCTACTTAACCCTGCTGCCTGACACAGTGTGTGGCATTGGGTGTTTACTGTCATGTTTGCACAGTTGATTTCCTACCTGCTTGGTTCTCCCCATTTTTATTTCCCATGTTCTGCCACCTTTTCTTTTTAAAGATTTTATTTATTTATTTGAGAGAGACAGAGAACGAGCATGAGCGGGGGGTGGGAGAAGCAGGCTCCCCGTTGAGCAGGGAGCCCGATGCAGGGCTTGATCCCAGGACCCTGGGATCATGACCTGAGCTGAAGGCAGACGCTTCACCGACTGAGCCACCCAGGCGCCCCTCTGGCACCTTTTCCTTAATCATAGACTTTAAGCACTCCAGGGTCCCGAAGATCAGAGTTCAAGTATTTGCTCTATGACTTTCTTTTTAATTGAGGAGAAAATCACATAGCAAAAGTCAGCATTTTCAAGTGAACAGTTCAGTGGCCTATAGTATATTCACAGCGTGGTGAAGTCACTGCCTTTATCTAGTTCCGCACATTACAGCCACTGCACTCCATTCTTTACCGGCCTTTGGACCTGATTCTCAGTTAGCTTCTTCATGAAATGTGAACGTGAGTGTTGACCAGGGTGTGTAGCATGGGGCCTGTGCGTGGTCAGCACTGAAATC